CACAACCTCACGTGCCGAGCCTTCAACGCCAAGCCCGCCGCCACCATCATCTGGTTCCGGGACGGGACTCAGCAGGAGGGCGCGGTGGCCAGCACGGTGAGACGCTGCCTGCCCCCTCCCGGGCCCCTCGGCCCCGCCTCAGGGCGCCTTCCGTTCCCACGTGGGCCCGCCCCAGGCTCGGGGGCCACAGACATGAGAGGAGACCTCGGAGGCCGTTCTGGTCAAGCCCTCTCACCACGGAGTGGGGGGAGGCTGAGAGCCACGGAGAGGGCGGGAGCTGCCAGGTTCGGGGTGCAGTCGGTGGCTGGTGGAGCCTGAGTGCCGGTAACACCAGCTGCACGGATTAAGCACCTACTGCATACAGGCACGGTGCACGCCGAGCTCCTGGTGGACAGTCCCTCTTAAGCCCCCGCAGCTTCGTAAGGCAGGTGTCCTTTCCTACTCACCACGGAGGTCAGAGAGGTCGCTGCCTTGCCCGAGGTCACACGGCCAGCAGGCAGCACGGCTGGCTGTGCTCTCCCCTGGGCACCTCCACCTTCAGCCTGTAGTGGGTGCGTGCGCCCAGGTGGCACAGGTGAGGCGTGGACGTGGCAGCGCTCGCCTGTGCGTCGCGTAGCGAGGAAGCTGCGACCGAGAAGCCACCCAGGGACCTCCCGGGAGGAGCTGGAGTCGGGATCCACGCCCCCCTGTGTGGGGTCCCTTCGGCCGGCTGTGGGCACACAGCTTAGCCCTTTGCTGGGTCCTGGGGGACACCTGCCCGCCTGTGTGCGGCGCGGGGCGGCCCCGGGGGCGGAACCGGGTTAGCTCTGCCCTCGACGGGCTGTGTGACCTCGGACAGGTCTCCGCCCTCTGGCCTTGGCTTCGCCACTTGACCGAGGAGAATTCGGCCTCCCAGGTGTTTAGCTTTCCACCACCAAGACACCCGCTACTTTTCTCCTTTAGGGCTACCTATTTGGAGATAGTCTGGCGACCGAACAAGCCGATTGGTTAATGGCCACTTGGGGTCCAGCTCTCCTCTTACGTTTACTAAAGGCAGAGGATCCCTGGGAAGCAGCAGCCGCGGCCAGCGCTAGCGAGCCACACTGGTCCTGCTCCTGCCCGGGAAAGGCGTGCGTGTGGCTGTCAAAGCGCAGGGCCCAGTGCTGGCGGGCAGTCCGGTTTCCCTTAGACACCTGTAATGTGGAAAACAGCCCTAGGGGTCCTGTGACCACATTCCGGGGCCTCAGGTTGGCCACCACGGAGCCACTGGGACAGCCGGTGAGCCCTCCCTGCCCTCCAGGGGCCTGCGGTCTAGCCGGAGAGCCCCGGAGCATAGTACCTACGAGGCCAGGATCCGTGAGCCCGGAGCAGAGCCGGACAGACCGACTGGGAGGGTCCTGAGGGCCAGGATGGCCACGGAGACCTTGCAGAGAGGAGGAACTTGCCCTGTGCTCCACAAATCCCAGGAATGGGGCTCAGAACCACGGGGCGCAGGAGGACGCACACAGTGGGCTCCGATGGCAACCGTGGCCTTCCGTCAAGAGGGATGCAGGGCCGCGGGTTCATCAGCTTACGCCTGCAGTGTCCTCGTGTATCACGTTCATCAGGGGAAGCTGTGGGGTCTGGGGGCAGGGCCTTTGGGGACTCACCGCATTTTCTCTTCGGTTCTATAAACTTAAAACGTCTCCAAAAAATGGAGTCTATCGATCGAGAACCAAACCAAAGCCAACCTGGGGGAGAGGTTGGGGCCGGGGATTTGAAGGCTGCTTCTGGTAAAAGTTGACGTGCCTCTCCAGCGCAAGCCCGTCTCTGGGCCGGGCCGCCCTGACCACAGTGTTCAGGGGCGGGGGGGGGGGGTGCTTTGGCTTGACCTGGCCTCCCACCTGTCCCGCCCCAGGAGCTGCTGAAGGATGGGAAGAGGGAGACCACCATCAGCCAGCTGCTCATTAACCCCACAGACCTGGACATCGGGCGTGTGTTCACCTGCCGCAGCGTGAACGAGGCCGTCCCGAGCGGCAAGGAGACTTCCATCGAGCTGGATGTGCACCGTGAGCAGGGGTCCCACAGCGGAGCTGGGGGGAGGGGTGGGGGGAGGGGGCCTTGGGTGCCCGTCGGGAATCCTCTGGGGATCCCAGGACAGATGCTTGCTGTCACCACCCCCTGGATCCCCCGGCGGGAGCACCCAGCGGCCGTGGGCACCGAGGGTCGGGAGGGGCATCGGCTGCGAGCCAGGCCTCTCCTGGGTCTCATCCAGCGTGTGACTTGGGCTGTGCTTTAATCTCTCCGAGCCTCAGTTTCCAATTCTGTGTACTTGGAAGAAAATCGAATACGGACCTCCAATCGCTTCTCTGAAATTCCAAATTAGAAGCGATTTCCTGGCAAGACGTGAACTGAGGCTCTTCATAGTTCACTTATCTATCCCCTACGTCACTGCGGGGTGTTGCCCAGACCCTGCGGGATCCTACATAGTCCGTGGTCTGTGCATGCCAGTCCCTTTCCAGACCGTGGGGGATGCCAAATTCTGAAACACATCCCAACCCATGGGCTTCAGAGAAGGGACTTTGGACCCGTTCCTGCCTCTTGGGGCTGGGGGTGGGGGGGTGCTTAAATGATAGTGTCAGATTATCCCCAAATGCAGGCTGCTACTCAAGGGATGCTCAGCGCGGGGGGGGGGGGGGGGGTCCCTCCGCCCACAGGAGGGAGGGAGCTGGGCAGGGATTGGAGTCGCCCCTCCCCCACCCCTTTCAGGGAGACTCGCGGGGCCACCCTGACGCCTCATGGCCACAATGCACCATTACATTCCCCTAATTGTCCCTTCAGCGGCAGCCTGGGTCCCGCACCCTGGCCGGCCCCCTGGAGGCTCCACGGGGTAAAGGTGAGGGAGGTGGCTTATTTATTGGAGCTGATGCGACGTGACCTCCGACCCCTAGGTCTCCGCACAGTGGGGAAGGCTGGGTGTGTGTGTTAGAGAGAGAAAGAAGCTTGAGGGACAGAAAAGCCCCTTCCCGTCCCCTGCTTTGCAGACCCTCCCACGGTGACCCTGTCCATCGAGCCACAGACGGTACAGGAGGGCGAGCGCGTCGTCTTCACGTGCCAGGCCACAGCCAACCCCGAGATCCTGGGCTACAGGTGCAAGGCGTGGGGGCTGGGGGCACCCGGGGCCTGGAGTGGGGGGGGGTGCCGGGGGTTGGGGTAGTGCCGCTGGACGTGGCAGACCGGGCCCCGAGCCCTGATCCCCGCCCTGTTTGCCATCTCCCCAGGTGGGCCAAGGGGGGCTTCTTGATTGAAGATGCGCACGAGAGTCGCTATCAGACGAACGTCGACTACTCCTTCTTCACGGAGCCCGTGTCCTGTGAGGTTCACAATAAAGTGGGAAGCACCAACGTCAGCACCTTAGTAAACGTCCACTGTGAGCAGCCGCAAGGGCGGGGCTGGATCGAGGGCCTGTAAAGGGTCCGGGTCGGGGTGGGGGTGGGGAGCGGGAACGGGCATGGGGGAGGGGGTGGGGAGCAGAAGGGAGACAGGATCGGTTAGAGCTGACGCCCGATGAGACTGAGACCCTCACTAGTGTTCCCTTGTACGCAGTTGCCCCCCGGATCGTGGTTGACCCCAAGCCCACGACCACAGATATTGGCTCTGACGTGACCCTCACCTGCGTCTGGGTGGGGAATCCGCCCCTCACCCTCACCTGGACCAAAAAGGATTCCAACATGGTAAGACGCCTGCTGCCTGTCTTGAGTGCCGGGGTTGGCTGGCGGGGGAAGGACTCTGGCTCTGGCGGGAGAGCAGGGTTGGGGCAAGGGAAGGGCAACAGCGCTTTTCGAGTCGAAGCCAGAGTGCTTCTAGGGTCCTGGGATTTGGGGGAGGAGGAGGCCAGTGCTTGAGATCAAGGCCCACTTCTCCCTGCAGAACAGCGGGCCGGTTCGGTGGCCGTGGGAGGGACCCGCGGACCCGCGCTGGGGAGGAGATCTGGTGGCTGGACCTACACAGGAGGGTGGGGAGGTTGAACGCTGCAGCTCCACTCACACCTGCGTTAGATAGTTCGGGCCAGGATCGCAGAACGGGGGTTCCAGGGTGAAACCTCCTACCTTGTTTGGCGGGAAAAGCCCTAGAACAGACCACCCGAGAGGCTGCGTCCTCTGTAAAACCACCGCAGCCCGCGAGGCCCCGTTGAGAGTCAGGGGACGCACCCCTTTCCCTTCTGGGAATTCACTTGTGGCCCTTCCCGCTTTCTTTCCAATGCCTCCAATGCGGGGCCCCACCCGGACCCAGGGGCCCAGGCCCCACGGCTCCCCACCCGAGGCTGCTCTCTCTGCCCAGGTCCTGAGTAACAGCAACCAGCTGCTGTTGAAGTCAGTGACCCAGGCCGACGCCGGCACCTACACCTGCCGGGCCATCGTGCCTCGGATCGGAGTGGCCGAGAGGGAGGTGCCCCTCTACGTGAACGGTGAGCGGCCCTCGGGGCCGGGGCTGGGCCTGGGCGGGCAGGTGCCGCCGTGTTCGGCCGGCCCTGACCGCGTCTCCCTGCTCGCAGGGCCCCCCATTATCTCCAGCGAGGCGGTGCAGTATGCCGTCAGGGGGGACGGTGGCAAAGTGGAGTGTTTCATCGGGAGTACGCCACCCCCCGACCGCATTGTGAGTGCCGGGTCCGCGGACAGCCAGCCACCTGCTTCGCTGCCAGCTCCCCACGCAGCTCCGTCCCTCTGCCCCCCGTCCTCCCTCGGATGCCACCTCCCCTCTCACTTGTTGCGTGACCCCGAGCCACGTGCTTAGCGTTTCCAAACTCGGGTTCCTCATCCTCAAAACGGGGGCGGTGTCCTCGCCTGATAGGGTGGCTGTGAGGTGACTGTAGCAACAGGTGTGAAAGGTCGGGGCGCCCCGGCTGCTCTCTGTCCCTCTTCCCCTCCCTGCCCTGCCTGGCCCCCGCCCCTCCGCCCCCTGCTTCTGCCTCCTCCTCCCAGCTCCCCTCCACCCTCCTTTCTCTTCCCCACACCATGAGCCATTAATTCCTTCCATGCCCATTAACCGTCAAACCCCTCATCACATTTAATGACCATTTGGCTAACTCCAGGGCTGCCCAGGGACACTTCATTACCACGGCCGCCTGGGCAGCCGGCGGCTCTGCTCCCAGGGGCTTTCCTCGCAGAGCTGGGAGGACTGATCCCTGGAAAGGAGCCAGTGCTCAGTGGTTCCCCTTCCCTCGGGCTCCATTCAGGGAGGGGCCCGGGGCGGGGGGGGGGGGTGCCCCGAGCTGGGAGGTCAGGGAGGGAGGAGCCTGGGGATACCCCCTCCTGGGCGAGGGATCCTCCCCGTTATAAGGGTCTGGGCAAAAGAGCGGCTCATCGGCCCAGCCGCACCTGCGTCCGTGGGATGGTTATGAAGATAGAGACTCCTGGATCTCTCCCTTGGAGATTCATAGTTAGGAGTTAAGCCCCAAGAATCTGCACTTTAAAGAACGTCCCGGGGCATGTCCGAATGTTCCCTGCATACATCTCCATCATGTCCAGAGCCACTTTCCTCCTAGGCTGGAGGTTCCAGGCCAAGGTTCCAGGCAACAGGGTGAACTGGTGTTTGTTGCAGGGCGAGAGCTGGGCTGGGTGTAAGGACGCACAGGGCTCATGGGGCGAGGGTGCCTGGAGCCCGGGTCGGGTGTTTCTGCCACCTGCCCCTTCCTTCTCACCGCCTGCCCTCCCCACCCCAGGCCTGGGCATGGAAGGAGAACTTCCTGGAGGTGGGGACGCTGGAGCGCTACACGGTGGAGAGGACCAACTCGGGCAGCGGAGTGCTGTCCACACTCACCATCAACAACGTCATGGAGGCCGACTTTCAGACACACTACAACTGCACGGCCTGGAACAGCTTCGGGCCGGGCACGGCCATCATCCAGCTAGAGGAGCGAGGTGACCGTGGCCGGGGCGCAGGACAGCCGGGGCCGGGGGGGGGGTGGGCCTCCGTCTACTCTCCCCCAGTGGGTCTCGTGGGGAGACAGCTCTCTCGGGCCCGCCCTCCGCTCAGCTGGGGACAGCCACTCCCTTTTATAAACATTCATTGAGCATCCACGCTGCGCCCAGCCCTGTGCTAAGGGCTACAGGGATGCATGTGACAAGACACAGGCCCTGCCTTCCCGGAGCTTTTGGTTCCATGGAGCAGTGCTCAGAGTAGAATGATTTTTCGGGAGGGCAATCAAATGCTTTGTGAAAGGGCATAATACCACCGACCTCACTAGGTCGTCCTTAGGACTAAATGACACGTGTGTATAAAACACTGGGCACGTAGGAAGTGCCCAGTAGTAGGGTGTGGTTCCCCACCTCTTCGAGAATCCTTCCACCCTTAAGACACTTTGCATGTCAAAGGAGGCACTGCCTTTGACTTTTCCGGAAGCTCTGAAGTCTGAGGAGGAAAAGCTGGGCCTTCCATCAGGTGTGTCTCAGCTGAGGGTGCCGGCAAGGGGTCAGTGGGGAAGAACGGAGCAGCGGGAGGAAGGCGGGACCCCACCCATCGAGGAGGGGAAGAGCTCCCTGCAGATCTGATCCATCCAGGTCCCCCAGGCAGGGAGACAAAGCCCGAGGGGGGCTCCCCGGATCCTCAGCTCTGGGGAGCGGGGGAGCCAAGGAGAACCATGGGAGCCCTGGGAGGGTAGGTGCCCATGCCACCCTGACAATGGGGGAGGGGTGAGGCGGTGACAGATCGGGAGACAGCTGGCCTCAAGAGCAGCCCAGCCCAGGAAGCAGAGGCCAAACCTCACAGGCGCACGGGCTGCAGGGCAGGGACGGACCGACTGCCAGGGCCAGGGTCACGTTGTGCCACACTGCGGGGATGACACATGGCTGTGCCCCCGACTCACCAAGCCGGAGCTCGGGCCTGAACCCGGACACAGCGCAGACCTTCCTCTCAAACTCCCGGGCTTGAAGCGGACAGTGTGCCGTCCCCGTCCCTGGATGCGGCGGAGTTCGTGGTGCCTGGCCCCGGGTCCCCGCGAGCTGCCAGCCTCACCCTCGCCTGTCTTTCCCTCTGAAGAGGTGCTACCCGTGGGCATCATCGCCGGGGCCACCATCGGAGCGGGCATCCTGCTGACCTTCTCCTTCATCGCCTTGGCCTTCTTCCTCTATCGCCGCCGCAAAGGCAGTGAGTAGGGGCCTCCCACCGCCCAGAGCTCCCCACCTCCCCGCCTCCGGCGCAGGCAGACCCATGGCGCGGCCAGCGGGTTGGCCTGCGGGGGCTGGCAGAACGTGTCCAGGGCCGCCCCTCCCTGTCCCCAGGTCGCAAGGACGTGACCCTGAGGAAGCTGGACATCAAGGTGGAGACGGTGAACCGTGAGCCACTCACGATGCATTCCGACCGGGAGGACGATACCGCCAGCGTGTCCACTGCGACTCGGGTCATGAAGGCCATCTATTCGGTGAGGGTCCTGCTCCTCCTGGCCCACTCCCCTGTTCACGTTCTCGGGACCTCCATCCCCGCCCCCAGCTCTACTAACCACCTCCCCTCTGTCCCCCCTTTGTCAGCCTGCCTTGGTCCTGCCACAGACACACACACACACACACACACACACACACACACACGCTCACGCGAGTACACAGGCGCACAAATGCTCATGCGTCTACCCACGAACCTGCGCGCACACGTGCTCTGCCCCGCGGTTCTCCTTCCAGCGCAGCACAGGCGGGGGGCGGCCCTCTGTGGGTGCGCGCTTTGCCGCACCCTTCCCGCACAGGGCTGGAAACCCCTGGAAGTTTTCCGGTTCAACTCGCCCCCCTGCTCAGATGAGGAGACAGTCCTGAGAGGGGCCGCCACACTCCCAAGGTCACTGTGCGTCAGCGACAAGGACCAGGGCCCCGTGCCCTCTCCTGGCCTTCCGACCCCAGACCCTGCCAGCCACCGGGGGGGGGGGGGGGGGGGGGGGGGGCGCCCTGGGCCTGGGGCGGGCCCCGCAGGGGGGCGACGCCGGCCCGGCGCTGACGCCCACCCCTGCCGCTCCGCAGTCCTTCAAGGACGACGTGGACCTGAAGCAGGACCTGCGCTGCGACACCATGGACACGCGGGAGGAGTACGAGATGAAGGTGCGCGCGCGGGGCAGGCACGGGCAGGCGTGGGAGGAGGGGCGCGGGCTCCCCGCGGGACCCAGCAGGTGCGCCAGGGCCGCGCCTCCACCCCGCCCCTCGCCCCCAGGACCCCACCAACGGCTACTACAACGTGCGCGCCCACGAGGACCGGCCGGCGTCGCGGGCCGTGCTCTACGCCGACTACCGCGCCCCCGGGCCCGCGCGCTTCGACGGGCGCCCGGCCTCGCGCCTCTCGCACTCGAGCGGCTACGCGCAGCTCAGCTCCTACGGCCGCGCCCCCGCGTCCGACTTCGGCCCCGAGCCCGCGGCCCCCGGGCCCGCCGCCCCCGCCGGCGCCGACTCGGCCGGCCCGCTGTCCTTCGAGAACTACGACAAGTTCAACCCCCACCCCTTCCCCGCGGCGGCCGGCTACCCCACCTACCGACTGGGCTACCCGCAGGCGCCGCCGTCGGGCCTGGAGCGGACCGCGTACGAGCCTTACGACCCCATCGGCAAGTACGCCACGGCCACGCGCTTCTCCTACACGTCCCAGCACGCGGACTACGGCCAGCGGTTCCAGCAGCGCATGCAGACTCACGTGTAGGCCCGGAGCGCCACCGAGCGGGGGCGCCTCTGCGGGGCAGAGGACGAGGCTCTCCCGGCCGTTCCCTGATATTCAGGGGCGTTGCGCGTCGCTGCGGGGGCTGCGGGGCCCGGACCGGCCTGCCGCCGCCCGGGGCAGGTGGGGAGCAGGTCTCCCGGAAACACCCCCTCCCGAGGATGGTGCTCTGTGCATGCCCCAGCCTCCTGGGCCTGCCCTTCCCTCTTCTTCGGGAGGACGTGTGTCTTCTGACCTGTGCTCTCGCCTGACCCCGGCACGGGGTGGGCCAGGGAAGCGAAGGTCGTGGAGAGCCGAGGGGGGCACTTTTTAGCATTCCCATTCTGTCCCACCCCACCCCACCCCCCCCCTCGGCTCCCCTGAGCGGACAGGGCCGTGTGAGGATGAGCAGGCCTGGGCCGAGGGGACACGCGGCGTGGGGTGGGGTGGGGTGGGGTGGCCCTGGCCCAGACGGGTGGGAACGGGACAGCCTGGCCGGCCCCTCTGCTCTCTGCACTCGGACCCTGGCAGCGTCCCTCCTTCCGGGGGACTGCGGAAGGCTTTGGAGGGTTTCTTGCGGCTGTGCACTCCGCAGCCCTGGCGCCGAGTTCAGACCCAGCCCTCATTCGGCTGAGCCCAACGCAAGGGCCAGCCTTCCGGCCGCTCCCCGTGGACACCTGTGTGTCAGCCTTCGCAGGACCCACGTTTCTCCAGTAGCGCCCTCCCCTTTTCCCCTCCGTGCAGGGCCAGCCAGAGAGGTCAGGGTCGTGGTGGAGACAAGAACGGTGGGGACCCGTGTCCTGTTTGACCAGCAAGGAGGCTGTGTGCTACAGAGCAGTTTCCAGAGTCCCCTCCCGAGGGGCCCCTTCCCTCCCCAGCGGGCCCTGCGTCCTGGCTTGAACTCGAGCCTGGTGCCATAAAGGTGGGATGCTAGAGGCTGTTTTTCAAAGACAACGACGACGACGACGACAGAAACAATAAAAACCTCATGTGGGGAGGAAAAAATAAAAGCTGTAGGGATTCCCCCACCCCAAGTCCCAATGGGAAGGAAAGGGGGCACCTGCTCACCAGATTCCCAACACCGTCCATTACTCTCGATTTCCAAGCACTTTGAATCCGTTTTTAAACATTCAGGTGGTAAGACCTGTCGCCAGCGGGCTCTGACAGGTTTAGGGAGGGGGCCTGGCTCTCAGACTCGATGTCCTGCCCACCGGCTAGCTGGTCAGAGAGGCCACCCTCTGGGGGCACCGAACTGTCGACAGGTTTTGGCTTGTTAAGTGTCTTTTTTTTTTTTTTTTTTTTTCCCCTTGGACCAATCAGATTCCTTCTTCCACTTTCAGTGCCTTGAGTGTCCAGCTTTGGTTGACCAGCCCTGTGTGGGTGGCCACAGGGGACAGGTACTGCGAGCCCCAGAGACACCGTCAGGTGTTGCAGAACGTGGGGAGGGGGGCGGCGGGTGAGGGACCTGGAGAGGAAGGAAGGGCTGACCCAGTAAGGTAGCACAGGGAGGGCACTGCAGGCTGTCATGCCCATGCTGTTCCCACACACACATTCCACATGGCCATTCACAGCCACCACCTTCTGACCAAAGAGAACTGTGCCCCCGCCCCCGGCCTCCCCTTCTCCCGACGGGCGGGGCCTCTGGGGCGATCCCCAGAACGCGCTTTGCCCTTTCTCGCGGTCACCGCTCATTAGTCATGTTTGTTTTAATGAGTTACATGCTCATCAGCCACGGGCCATCGCCACCTTTGCGGATGGGTCTGTGGGGTGACATTCCTCACCGTCCTTGCTGGTGGGGACCAGCTAACGCCCAGGAAGAAAG